TAAACATGCCACTCACTTTAAAATCAAACATGAGATGAAACATGACAGCAAACAGATAGTGTCATTTGGTTGCTGCTGGCTTTCAGCTCCACTGGGCTTGTTGAGAAACACTCGAGAAAACCTCCACTGAAGTGTTGACATGGAAGATACTGTGAGTGTCCTGCAGAGTGTCAGTCAGAGGCAAGCTCCCATCACACACACTCAGGCTTGTTTACATTAAAACCTAATGTGCAATAAACAGTTTTTTAAAATATCAAATCAAGAAAACATTTTTAGAATCCTAAACACCTAAAAGTCATCATTTATGCTGAAAAAAATTGTGAACACAGAGTTTAATTCAGAGCGACGTTAAGATCAAACTGCTTTACTGCTAACTTAAAACTACTTTAGTCTAAATATTTCATAATGCAGGGTAAGTCAAAAGTCACAGGACAAAATGACATCAGAATACCCCAAGAGGTAACAGGTGAGGGGTTCTATTYGTCAGGTCCAGAGCATGGTCGCCATCTCAAAAATCATTGAATTGGAACAAATAAAAAGGTGTCCTGTGCCTTTTGACTCACCCTGTATTTCATGTGAAAGTTGTAGTTATTTAGTTGGCTGTTCCAGCAGAACCGTCATGAACTTCCTGTATGATGTTAAGCACCTTGTACCAGAAGTGCTATAGCTTGTTTAGCACCTGGTCCTGCTATTAGCACTTGAAGAAATGTCATGAATCACGTCTGTTTCCTGCCCAAGTCCTATCACAGTCTATTATCTCCTAATTTTTTCTCCCCTTCCATCTCAGCCAACCATAATCAACATCATGCAACTCACCTGTGTTCACTAGTATTTAAGCTCCTCTCATCCACAGCTCCTGTGCCAGATTTATGAACGGTTCTGCCTAGTAATTATCCAGCATTCATGTTACGTCTTGCCTGTCTCGTCTCGACCTTGGTTCTCCTCACTGGTTCTTCGCCTCTCGTCTTGCTCCTGAATGGTACCGTCCTGGACTCTGCTCTCTAGGTTTTGACCCCCGCCCTGGACTCTGGCTTTCTGCCTCCTGCCTCACTCCCCATCAGTATTCTGCCTTCTGCCACCCGGATTACGACCACCGCCCGCCTGCTCCAACCACGAGAAAAGTCTACTCCTTCTAACCTGGTTCTGCTCTCATTCTGCCTGTGTATGACCCCTGCCTGTCCCATGAATCATCCCTGGACCTCTAAGTCCTAACTGAGGTCTCTCTCCAAACACGGAAGTGTCACTGGACACCACCCGACACTTTCCACRTCACTCAAGAGTTCGCTCAGGACCAAGCATTCTCTCAAAAGGTTAGTGGCTCAGTTTAATACAAGATCTGTCCTTCTGTTTAATCCAGCCACTAACCTGTTCYTCTCCTGTTTAGAACTCCTGGCCCCCCTGACGTGTCAATCCAGATCCAACTTCCTGTTTATAAATAAAACTTTTAAAACTGCTCTGGTGTCTGGCAATTCAGTGAAACTCGTTTACCCATTCATTACAAGAAACCCACATAATTATACATGTGTGTGTGTGTGTGTGTGTGTGTGTGTGTGTGTGTGTGTGTGTGTGTGTGTGTGTGTGNGTGTGTGTGTGTGTGTGTGTGTGTGTGTGTGTGTATGTGTGTGTAAGAGGGGGTGGGGTTTGTCTGTTTTAGGTTATTTTGGTCCTCCCGGGCAGAAGGGGGCGCTGTGGCTGTCCTTGTCAAAATAATGATACTGGCTTCAAAGGCAAGCTGGATCCCCGAGGCTCCAAGGCACTTTGAAGAGGGTCAGCGGGGTCCGTTAATGTGGGCCTCAAAGGAGAGAGGACAGCGAGCGTGGTGAGGGTGATGTCATGTCAATCCACGGGGTTTCATTCGTAATCCGGTATGCTGTGGTCAGTGTGTGGGGTGCTCAAATACTCGAATGTGTCTGAGATGCAGATGGTGCATTTGGTGTTTTGTATATAGAACCGTATGTACAAGTGAAGTGTTTGGATGATCATGTTCCCTTCTACTCACAGCGTACAAAGTCCATTCAGAGCATGCAACCCCCCACCCCCTTCTGACTGGTTTGAAAACCTTTTCAAAACCAAAAATACAAAATAATAAAAATAATAACATCCAAATGAAAAAGTTGCCTCGCTCTGCAAGGGCCAACATTAAAATCAACCCAAAACTCCCAAAGTAGGCTACGGTTAGCCAAAGGGTTGAGGTGGGTGTAAGTGGGTGAAGATGGGGTAGGTCCTGTCAATCATGGCTTTTTAGGTCCTCATGTTAAACATCTTTTTTTTTCTTCCCCGCAGCGATTTCCCCCACAAACAGTTTAAGGCTTGTTGTGTGTCCGGGCACACAGTCAGTCGATTGTGTTGGGTTGTGTTTTGATCCCATTTGTTTGTTTTGTAGTCTTTTTTTCTTTTAAAGCACAGGGCGAATGTGTCCCCCCCCCCCCCCCCCGTCGGAGAGGCGGGTGGAGGAGGGGGGGATTCAGTGCTCTGTCCATCACAGTTTCACTCTCCTTTTGTTTCTTCTCCTTCAGGGTTTCAGTCTCTGCTCTAAACAGCAATCCATAGGTTGCACCGTCCAAAGCTCCATGACCTTTAACTATTTACCGCAATGTAAACACGACCTTCTCTTCAACAAGAACCTGCGACAACAGTCAAACAATAAATCTAACAATAACGCCTTTTCGTCATGAAAATAATGCCTTAAAATGCTCCCACTTCTCTACCTCTACACAATATTTATACTTTCTTCAACCACCCCACCTCCCAAAAAGAAAAGAAAAGAAAAAGAAACTTATCTTCCAGCCCAGATGGCCATCAGGTCAGAAAGAAAACATTAAACTGAAAGAGACTGATTGAGCGAAAACCTTACGGATGCTGAAGAATAAAAATACCACAGACTGTCAGGAACGTAGGGGATAACTGAGGCCGAGTCAAACATGGAACAAAAGAGTCGAGGGGCCAAACAAAGGAGCTAAGATCTAGGCCACTGTGTTTACGTGTGATCAAAAAATACACTTTCTAAGGACGTTCCTAACCTACCACCTTTCCAACACAACGTGTCTGGCTCGGTCTGTGTACTTTACAGCATCCAGTTTCAAAACTAGACAAATCTATGATGCATTTATAGACATTTCTCTTTTGGTGAACCAGGAATTGGTCATTGATATGTGTTGATATTTGAGGCCTATCATCCCTGCAATGGAGCAGTCCGTAGAGGTATCCTCAGTCAAATACTGGACGATGCCCCCGATTTTTTCTCCCCCCGGACGAGATCTCGTTGTGATCCGCACCACCGAGGAAGTCAGCAGACGCTAAAGTGAAGTGGTGTAAACGAAAAAACATAGTGCGAGGTTTTCCTCTCCCATCACGCCTCAGTGCAGCAGCGCTGTTGGTTGAGTTTGACTTTGTGCTTGAGGCCGTCGTACAGTTCGAAGTTGTAGTTCTCCAAAGTGGTGGAGGAGCGTGACGACAGGCCGCTGTACGAGCAGGTGCAGTACAGGAGGAGGCCCGCGCAGACCGCGCCCAGCAGGACGCCCAACGAGCTCATGACGATGATGGTGACCAGGATGGGGTCCAGGGTGTACAGCCAGGAGTTGTCTTTCTCAGAGACACTGGTCACCGGAGGATCGGACGACGGGGAAGCCGTGTTCCACTCAGGGAACGTCAAACCTGCGGCGGGAAGGGAAGGAAACAAGTAAATTAGAGTGCGAGTCCGATTTTCGAGTTAGGGGTCTCTGCAATAGGTTTTGTCCTGTGGGCGGAGACGGCCCTACTCATGATTGGTGGAGGTTTCGATGTGGGCAGAGATGGCCTAAGAGACATGATTGGTCAGATTGACGGTTGGGTTTGAGGAGGTTGGAGGCAGCGGGGAGTAGCTTGATTGAGTCAATCAGGAAGCAACATGTTTTTTAAGATTGATTTTAGTCATAACTTGAGAAAGGAAAGTGCTAGCTGCACGAAATTTGAACGTCATACACGTGAAAGGATGTGTAACAATATGGTTTGTTAAAACATCCCTAACCAGCCTGTAAAACGATAGCTAAAAATCAATATTTTTTTACAGGCTGGTTGGGAATGTTTTGACTGAGCCATATTGTTACACATCCTTTCACATGTATGACGTTCAAATTGCGTGCAACTAGCACTTTCCTTTCTCAAGTTATGACTAAAATTAATCTTAAAAAAACATGTTACTTCCTGCCTGACTCGATCAAACTATTCCCCGCTGCCTCCAGCCTCAAACCCCACCGTCAATCTGACCAATCACATCTCTTGGGCCATCTCCGCCCACATCAACACCTCCGCCAATCACGAGTAGGGCCGTCTCCGCTCACAGCAAGACCTCCGCCAATCACGAGCAGGGACGTCTCCGCCCACATTAAGACCTCCGCCAATCACGAGTAGGGACGTCTCTGCCCACATTAAGACCGCGGCCAATGACGATTTGGGTCGTCTCCGCCCACAGGACAACACGTTCTGCAGAGACCCCTACTTTGCGATTTTCTGTAAAAAGTGGGAGGAGCAATGCCTCACCTATGCCTTGTGGGTCTCTGCCGCTGGAGAGTCTCCCGTCTCCAACTTTACTGTGTCTGTTATCTGTCAAAGAGAAGCACAGGACATGCTGACCTTTAGCAGCAAACCACTTTACACAGAGGCGTCGCACCGAATCACGAGTCCGAAGTGCTGAAACTCATCCTGTTATTTAGAGATCAGTCGAATTGCTGCGCCGTTTTTTCGAGCGGCTGTGGAAGAATAAAGGAATCTGACAAGAGACGGAGCCACTTTACACTAAAAACTACAGAGTTGACTGTGATGAAACATGATGGAAAACTAGTGCATAAATAAAGAACAAGATACATTGGTTTAGATCAAAACAGGGAATTGAAGTTACAAAGTTGAATAAAAGCTCCACTTCAAGGCCTTTCTGTGTGGCAGAGTCAACAATTTGAACTAAAAAATCCATAAACAACTAGTTACACATTCTGGTTTGAGGATAAACACAAAGACGATTTATATTATAATAGAAAAATATGTCTTTATTCATAGAGAAATTTCATTAAGATGCATTCCTGTCAAACACACAGGCATCACATTAGATAAAGACTGTATAAGACTGCTCATTCTGTGTGAATACAAATGCAACAAAACCCTCACATCATAGTGTAAATCAGTTTAAGAGTATTGTTTTGAACAAAAATAAAATGTAGTGCTTGTAAAATGTGTTTTCTGATCTGAAAAATGACTAAATTAAGGAACTGGTGAAACTAGAAATGGGCTGCAGCACTTTGCTTGAGTTCGAAAGCTCAAGTGTACTTTGTAAGAGTTTTCTTTTTACTTTGTGTCTTTATGTGTGTGTGTGTGTGCGCGTTTGCTGCCCTTGGCAAGCATTCAGGAGTGGGAGTAACTGCTTGGCAAGGCACACGTCTAGATCTGGAGGTCTTTGATGGCCAATGGCATTATTAATACTGTTTCCAGGGCAACGGGAGTTGGCAGCAAACGGGGGCGATGGAGGTGCAGCAGATGGGAGGGGGGAAAAAGTGCTTACCGCAGCCTTAATAAATGCTATCTGTCCATTAACTAATTACAACTATTAGAAGCTCCGTGTGTAATGGTGTCGAGATGGATCGAGTCAGGCGTCCAAGTTGATTTAAAAGCATAAAGTGAGAGTGTGCCAAAAAATTAAAAAAGGGGAGATGACATCTTTTTTTTTACAGTTGTGACAACAAATTCAGGTGCACTCTGCAGAGCTGTGGGTTTGCAGGTGACAGATTCTGTGCAGCTGTGACAGAACTGGAAGGTAATGCCCCATTAGGCGACAGAGCAAAGACCTGCATTTCATTCAAAACAGCTAAGCTCGGATCTGATTTTTTATCACCCCTGGAGCAGTGGATGCAGAGAGGAATCAGTGCCAATTTGTCTTTTTCAGAACCAAATTTCACAACAGATTCAGCTTTAGATCCTACATGTGTTGAATATTGGTTCAAAGTGTCTAATTTTACTGCCTTTTAAAGGGGAAAAAGCTCATCAATCGCTTGAGCTCTCCTCTGGTTTTCATCAGGGTGCGCATGTACGCAGCAAAAACATTTGACTCGTGGCTTCCAGCTGGGCCAGCGGCATTGTGGGATTTGTAGGAGCATAAATCAAGGGCGAAGTGGCGATGGCAGACAGCTGTGTCTATTTACAACCCTAAAAACAACAAGCGCACATTAGCACTGAAAACGCGACAAGTGGGGCCTCGGCGTGGCTTTCATCTGGGCAGCTCGAAGGCGAGGGGAACAACTGGAGTGGGTGGTACGCAGCTCAGATGGGAGTGGGAACAACGTGCTTTATTACACCAGAGAATCAAGATGAAACACTAAGCAGTGAGGACGGCTGCATCCATCACCGACTGATGCCTTTATCAGGAGAGGATGAGCCGTTCAATCAAACCAGCTGCTTATCTCCATTTGAAATGCGCGGCTTTAAGTATGATGGATTTGCATTCTGTTGTTGTTTTTTAAATGTGCACATGCTCTTTAAAAATCAGAGGACAATGGGGACACCTTTTCCCCTCCCTTTGTTGCAGCACCCTCTGTATCRGCACAACTTAATAAATTTTGCCAGATCATTTCGGACCAACGTCTCAAGCTAACAATTTTCTTCTCTCGTCACCCTGCGTGCTGCAGAGCTCCTCGTGTCTCTCGGGTCTTGTTTTGGCCTTGCGGTTTGGCAGTTTTGGCTGGCTCTAGCAGTAGAACCGGCCAACCCCCCCTTCACTTCCCCAGACCACACAAGTCTTTGTGTGCGTCCATGCTGGGGTCATTCCAAGAGGACTGTCGGGGTTACAAGGAGCCAGACGGAGCTCAKAGGCCTGGATCAAGCTGTTCAGAAAAAAAACTTGACTCTGGATTCGTTCCTCTAATCAGGAGCAGCATAGTGGTAAATGTTAAGAGCAAAGAGAAACAAACGCTACTACGTCCATTACAGACGCAGAGAGAGGCCATGATGTGTCTTTGCAAATCTTCCATTTAGTGTCATCGTTGCTGTTGCAGCTGTAAACCGAAGTCTTTTTCGAGTCACACTTCCAACTACATCATCCCACATCTGTGCTTCTTTTCAGCAGAGGGTGCGGTGTCTGTCCCGGCTGTCCAGCCTCACCGTCAGGACCGGCTCCACCCCCGGGGTGGCCATGCTGGTGGCCCAGTTTGAGTACTGGAAGCACTGCGATGAGCTGTGGTAGGCCACGGACAGCTGGCTCTTCTTGGTGGCCAGGTGTTGTCGGCAGCAACAGAGTGCCCTGACCAAGATGGCCACTGCCAGGAGAAGGAGGGCGCCCCCGGCGGCCATAATGTAATACCAATGGATGGGCAAGGGAGGCACAGGAACGCCTCCCCCTGGTGGAAAGATACAYAGTGATTGGCCAACGGGAAAAACAGAAGAAAAAAATAATTTGCTGATTTCTATCTTCTTTTATTGGGGGGGAGGGGCTTAAGGTAACGAACAGCAGGCGTGCACCTCATATGAGCATGCCCAAACATGCCAGTTGCAAAAATAAATACATGTCCAAGGCAATWAAAAAAAGCATCCATATCTGTCGTGTGGCTTGGGTTGCAGTTCGAGGAGAAGCTTTCACACCAAGATCATCCAGAGATTTGATTTGAAATCAGTCCAATGGTTGATCAAGATCCAATCAGATGCTAATGGAGTTAAATTGTTTTGAAGCTCCAGCGACATCACTTGGTGTGAAACAGAAAGCCAGAAACTATTAGTTTAAACAAGCAGTGACACACTCCTCTTCCGGTTACACACTGGCACAGGAAGTCACAAAACAGCCCCCAGAGCCATGCAAGCATCAGTGAGGTGCCAAATCCAAAGAGCTGATACTGGATCGCTATTCGTTAACTAGCCAGCTCGACTTGTCCTGAGTTTGAAATTTATTCTGCTCTTTTGCGTAATTTGTTTCATTTTCCCTTCTCATCTGTCAGCCTCCTGGCCGAGACCTCTCCTCCTCAAGCCAAACGCCGTCTCCTCAGAGACCATCTCCTCAGATCGTCTATCCTGGCGTCAAACTCTCTCTTTTTTTTAAATCCGTGGCTTTGAAAAAAGCTTTTATTCAAGTCAGCTAAGATAAAACCCAGATGAGTGTGTTAAAAATAAAAGAAAGAACTGTACGTTCCAAACTTGATGTTTGAAAAATCACAYTGAGCTGGGGACGTTGAGCTCAATACTTCCTGATTTTTGGACCGTGTCACATAATTACAGAGTGAAATGGTGCGTGATCCTGCTACTTCACACTGCACACACTCATTAGGCAGAGAGGAGATACCCCCGCGCTCGATGCTGCTCAGTCACTCTGTCTGATTGCTTTTCACTTGGGATGCCACCGTGCTTGTGTGTGTGTGTGTGTGTGTGTGTGTGTGTGTGTGTGTGTG